GAGATTCCTAAGACTTTATCACACAGCAAAAAAAGACGGGAGCATACCTATCAATATTAGGCAATAGTGTGAAGATTTTCACGCGACGTCACACGACGTCACGTGAAAATCTTCACACTATTGCCCAATATTGATGGGAGCATAGTGCCATGGTCCCATCTTTTTTCGCCTTGTGATAAAGTCCCTAGAGAGATAATACTCCTCTAGGCATTTTTAGGTCCGCCAGCATGATTCTAGAAGTTTAATAGAAGCAGAAGTGCAATTTGAAATGTTTCATTACACCGTGTATATTTTTACATTTCAATCGTTTGCTATTTGTACACTCTCTTTGTTACATATTGTGATGACTTATGGTTATGAGCAAATAAAACTGAACTAAACTGCTTCTGATTGTCACGGTTTTGCTTGCTGTTGGGAGGAGAGGTTGGAAAGGTCATCTTCTTCAGACCCCGATTGGCAGCTGAATGGACCTTCTTTGCCCAGGAACATTTACTGTGGCTGCATCTACACTGCAGAATTAATGCAGATTGGCACTGCTTTAATTGGACCCGATCCAGAAGTTTGCACACTACAAAACCCTATGCTCATCCTGGGGTTTCGGGAAAACACGGGGGTTTCCCCTGATTTTTCCAACTTGAGAAAAACCTGCAACATTTCCCCGGAAGTCAGCGTGCGTCATGCAAACCGACGGCACCGGCTTTGGGGTGAGGATGGGGTTTTTCGTCCATGCAGACATCCCCTGGTCTTAGTTGGCCCTTAAAATGCAATTGTAGGCTTCCAAGGAATACTAAAACCAGGATGTTCATTGCTCAGCCCTTGTTGCCCAACATGTCATTGGACTTTATCACACGGGGGCCAGTTTCGTCTTTAAAAAGATAATAAAGCGCAAATAAACCTTCCCGAAAATAAAGCGAAAATAGAGCTTGATCACACAAATGAATTTCACACGTGATTAGAATAAATGCGAAATAAGGCGAAAGGCGACAAAAAGGCGTTTTTACATTTCATACAGAAGTGAAAGAAATCCGTAAATGTGCTAGAAATGGTATACTTGCAGATGCGCAGAAAGAGAAAGGAGAGAGGCTCATGTCTGCCTGGCATGTTTGTCACCCAAGGAAAAGAGGAAGGAAAAGGGTTATTGTGTGAATAAACCGAATTTGACTTTCACACTAGAGTAAATGTGCAATTACATTAATATCGAAAATGCATTTTCACTAAAATCCCAAAAGTAAAAAAAATCTGGGATAGCGCCACTTTCTGAACACTTTAATAGCAGTTTTTATGTGACGTTGTCTGAAATCGTTGTGCGTAATTACGCGGGTGTTTTTTTTTTTTGGGATTTGTATGGGATAAACTATAGATTTCTCCCGTGTGATAAAGTCCTCTCTCTGATTTAGTGCAACACGCATCTCCTGTTTGTCTCCTGCCAACTAACTCCTCACCTTTTCCTGCAGACGTTCCAACATGGCAGCTAAATGGGCTTCTCGGTTCTCTTTGTTGGACTCCATTTTCTGTATCAGCCTCTCCTTGGCCATCTTGATGAAATTGTTGTTCTCCTCGATAGCCTTCTGGATGACCTCCCGTTCGTGCTCTCGCTTTCCTGCTAGGTGCTTCAAGAGCTCGGCTTCCTGGTACTAAACCCACAAAACGACACAAGGTTTGTATCCAACACATATCCTAATCCATACCCTCCAATGGCCCTGATTTGGCAAGGACAGTCCCGGTACATCCTCTGTCATCCCATTTATTCAGATGCTTTTAAAATGTCCCAGTTTCTATGTCCTCCCACTTTCTCCTTTTGTCCTTAGTTTACTTCCATTGCTGCAAATTGAGTTCAATAAATCCTTCAGGGAAGAGAGGAAAGGGTGCAGTCTTGCTAGTCCCAGTCGGCTCAGGCAAAAGCCAACTGCTACAGCATCTCCTGGCCTGTGTGTTCTTTCTCATTAATAAATTTTGCTATCGTGGTCATAGTCTGATATTGCTTGGCCACACAGAATTATAGAATCTTAGAGTTGGAAGAGACCCCAAGGGCCATCCAGTCCAACCCCATTCTGCCATGCAGGAACTCTTAGTCAAAGCAACCCTGACAGATAGCCATCCAGCCTCTGTTGAAAAACCTCCAAAGAAGGAGACTCCACCATTCTCCAAGACAATGTCTTCCCCTGTTAAACAGCTTTTACTGTCAGGAAGTTTTTCCTAATGTTTAAATGGAATTTCTGTTCCTGTAGTTTGCATCCATTGCTTTGTTTCCTATTCTCTGGAGCAGCAGAAAACAAGCTTGCTCCCTCCTCAATATGACATCCCTTCAAATATTTAAAGAGGGCTATCATATCCCCTCTTAACCGTCTCTTCTCCAGGCTAAACATAACCAGCTCCCTAGGTCTCTCCTCACAGGGCTTTATAGTTTCCAAACCTTCCACCATTTTTGGTTGCCCTTCTATGGACACTCTCCAGCTTCTCAACATCCTTTCTGAATTGTGGTGCCCAGAACTGGACACAGGATTCCAAGTACATGTGTCCCAGTTTTCATCTGTGAAATATCAGCAAGCTGGGACACGTCCATCTCTGTAGCAGACTGTCATGTTATGCCGCTGAATATGCAGCCAAAGCCAAGAACCTCTATGACTGCCTATAGAGGTAGAATTCCACATGATGCGCTTTGCTACAGCTCCTGTGTCACCATCCCCAGGACTCACCTGGTTGTAGGGATTGAAATTCTGCAATAGCTGTCCCACAGCCATTCAGTGGCTAGTGTTGGGATCAGAAAAGCAGGCGGCTATGTCCCTGTAGCCAGATGCAAATTTAGAACATCTTCTGAAGAGCTCCAGTGAGGATCTCCAGAGGCAACATAGCCTGTCCCCTCAGATTTCCATCCATTACTACTCAGTCTATTGCAGAATAACAGGGAGTCCTGGGGAGGAAGCTTGGGAAATTGTGGAGGGATTGCAGAGGAGACTAACCTCCAGAATGACAAAAAATAAAATAAAATATATATTTTTAAAATGGAAGCATTAGATGGAGTTATGCTCTCATATGTCACTATTAAGATGCTAGCTCAAATGTGCATGTTCACCTGCTGGTGCAATGTACATAACAGAATCATAGAATGAAAGAATTGGAAGGGACCCCAAGGGCCATCCATTCCAACCCCATTCTGCCATGCAGGAATTCACAATCAAATCCCTTCCAATGGATGGCCACCAGCTCTTTTAAAAACCTCCAAAGAAGGAGACTTCGCCACTCTTTGGGGGAGCGTCTTCCACTGTCGAACAGCTCTTACAGTCAGGAAATTCTTCCTAATGTTCAGGTGGAATCTCTTTTCCTGTGGTTTGCATCCATTGTTCTGAGTCCTAGTCTCTGGAGCAGCAGAAAATAAGCTTGCTCCAGCCTCAACATGATATCCCTTCAAATATCTAAACCTGGCTATCATATCCCCTCTTAACCTTCTCTTCTCCAGGCTAAACATACCTGACTCCCTGGATGTGTAATATGTAGGCATGTGAAATGGTGCTGCAGGTGTGACTCTGTTTTCACAATCTTGAACTGAGCATGGCTGTTCTGCATGGGACAAAACATGTGCAACCCTTTTCCATAGAGGAACATGTGCATGTGTAAGAGACCAAAAGAAAAAAAGATTCTTGCTTCTGTTTCCAAGAGGACAGCTACCATTTCCCACAGATCTATAAGAGCACGGAGGAGTGACACACTAGATTGGGTTACTCTGATGGAAGGTAAACTGATCCAGAGAAAGGAAACTCATTCCGCTTTCACATCCGGCTGTTGTGGCTGGCAGATCTCATTCACTGTTGGTCGATTCAGGCAAACTAGGGACGCCACTGCTGAACATGAACAATGAGGCCTTCTAATGGCTGATCAAT